CCGGCCCCGGCCCAGCACCCAGCGGCGCCGGATTTTCCCGGACATGTTCAGCTTTTTGGGATTTCCCCCCGGAAGTGGATTTGAGTCCCACAAAGCCGGACATGTCCGGGAAAATCCGGACGTATGGTAACCCTACACATGCATGTATTTAGGGAACATTCTTAACTGGGGTAATGACCTGCTGTGACATAGCTCCTGAGAGGGGCAGGATAGAACCCCAGACCAGAGAGGGGGAAAAAGACAATTTGTTCTGTTCCAGGAATCCCCAGGCCTAGCTTTGAGCCCTTTCTCCTCTTCAGTTTCCTAAATGACCCACATTTGCTCTCCCAAATGCCTTTGTTCTGAGTGCCTTTCATCAACAGAGTTCACAGGACTTGATAGTATCATTACCCCTCTTCCACAGCTAGGGAAACTGAGGCAAAGTGACTTGCCTGAGGTTGCAGAGCTGGGAACAGAACACTCTTTAACTCACTGGGGGGGGAGGGGTAGCCTGGTTCTCACTCCAGAGCCCTTTCCATTGGGTCATGCTGCCTCTCTAAACATCCCCACAGATCATAACAATCATGAGCACAAACAAACAGACCCTGGACCCACCGGTACCTGGATAGCAAGGTGTTAGGGTGGTGTATCAGTACCATAGATGTGATGGCTGCCACACTGGGAACTCAACTGAGAACCTCGAGAACTAAAAGCAGGAGTCTCTACAGATAGAGTTAAAGAGCCTGGCTCTGTAGCTAGGGATTGTGACTGATCCGTATCCTCTGTAGAGGAGGCAGAGATGAACACATTGACCAATGGGTTGCATGGACACACGCTCATGTGACTGTGCTGTATCCATCCTCAGTCATTCCCTGTATACCCAGACCCAGCTGACAGCCCACTCACACCCACTGTGCCACTCACTCATACACGTGCACTGGGCCGACACAATTTTATTTGCATGACATGGGACACAATTATTGCTCATGGCGAATAAAGTCTAATTGTGTGCCTGCCCAGGATATGGCTTCACAGAAACAATGTGCTTCAAAAACACCTGGCCATCAGCTGTGATTCTTCATGTCTAACTCACTGGCAGGCTGCCACGTATTGTGTGGTTGCTTCGCCACCGTCTTCACGTCTCCCGGCATCAGGCTCAAGTTTGTTTCCTCGCTTTCCAGGGGGAGATTTCTGATGTCAGATAATGTGAGGAAGTCTCTTTCCCAGAGCTTTTAATGCGGTGAACAGCCAGGTAGACAATGGCTTTCGGTTTCAGTCTCTCCTGAGTCATGTTGAGAACAGAACTGTACCACATGCGATGCACCTGCGTAGTGTACCACTACCTGAATGTTGTAACCACACCCACACCCCAGACTGTGCTTATCCGCTCTCATTCACACATGCACACTCACTCGGCCATAAAGGGCCAGAGCATCCCTGGCATGCTGAGCTCTTTCAAAAAGGCTGGCCTAGCCTGCACTGCAGAAAACAAGGATGGGTTAGTGGCTAGAGAGCCAGCCTGGGCTGTGGGAGACCTGATCTTGAATCCCTGCTCCACCACAGACGCCCGTGTGTTCTTGAGCATATCACCTAGGGATGTCTACATTGGTACTGAAGGGGTCGTTCCCAGCTGGTGCAGACATTTCGATGGAGTTAGTGCACTAAAAACAGCAGGGTAGTCACAGTGAAGCGAGCAGCAGCACTGGCTAGCTGCCCCGAGGCCAATCTCATCTGAAATCCTGGGGCTAACTCGCCCAGAGTTAGCACTGGTGTGGCGACCCTAGCTGGAAATTACACCTCTAGCTCCAGGGTAGACATACCCCTAGTCTTGATCTCAGTTCCCATCTTTACTAGCACTTCTCTACTGCACAGGAGTGTAGTGGGGATAATTAGATACTGAGGCACCCTGATACTACAGTGACAGGGAGACAAAAGCCCCTTAGATAGATACCACATACACACATCAGGTTGGCCCCACACACCCCGGCCCTGGCTACGCTATTGCTCACTCCAGTGCAAGTGAGCTGATGTATCTACAGACACGCCTCCTGGACCCTCAGCACTCTTTGATTAACCCCATCTTTGCTAGATTCATTCAGGTTTGACTGATATGGTGTTAAATGGCTGGGGACACGGGAGCCTTCTTTGCCTTAAAATGTGGCCACAGTCAGAAACGTGACCCTGCAAAGGACACTGGGGGCTCCAGGTTTATTTTCCTCTCATCAGCTCAATTTGCCCTCCCCCCCGACAAATCTTCCTTGGGTTTCAGCTCATCACCAGGATCACCCGGGT